GTCTAAATTTCCCACAGCCCAGGCCAAGGCCCTCGCCACCAGGCCTCTCTGCCCTCCCACACACACTGTTCTTTCCCCAGATAGACAGTTACATGTTTGTGAAAACGTTTGAGCGTTTCTGTTGTGGCATCGGACAAAAACATACTTTGGACCCTCACAAATTGCTGTGTGAGGGAATTGTTACTACAGCATCATCCACCCGTTGGCCTGCGGCTCAATCAGGGCCACGTGTGGCAGCTCTCCTAGGCAACGGAAGGTAGAAAGACCCTCATGCAGGGCTAGATCTGCCTCTCTACAGAGACACTTTGCACAGTGGAAGTGGAAGAGAATTGCTGCACCTCTTGAGGTGATGGGGGTTGAAGCCGGAAGGACCAGTGATTACATAAAATAATTCCTGTAAGGCTGTTAGTAGAGTTTGGCACTTGGTACCCAACCCTGCCTGCTATTAACAACACCCCCTTTGGGCAGGATCAGGCCCACTGTGGGGCTTATCTCAAGGGCTAAGTGTCTCCGATCAGGTCTCTGAGCCATGCGCTCTCTTCCATCTTCTGCATACAAGGAACCATCAGCTTTTCTATGGGGAACTTGTGAGGAACAGATGGTAGTGGCTCTGTGTAACTGGGCAGAGGAGATGGGGGAAAACAAGCACATGCTAGGAGCCCCCTCCCTTCACCTATGCATACCTGCCTGGGGGCAGCCACAACCCCAATCCTCAAGCACCCTAAGTTCAGTGTAAATCCTTTGGGCATTGCTAGCCATCCCGAGGTACAAAGGGAGGCCATGGACTCACTCTTGTCCTGATAGGCATGGAACTGGAGGTGCGGGGTGTGCTGCAGCAACCCCAAGCTCCCGGCCTACCGCCCGGGGTCTGGCTACTGCCCATGTGTGCCCGAGGCTCTGCTACTGGCTCTGGGGTCCTGGTTACTGGCCCTGCACTCTGAGGGCCTCTACTTCAGTCCCATGCACTGAGGGTTCTGCTGCCAGCCCTCTGCACAGTGTCCTGGCTGCTGGCCCCACACACCAGGGCTTTGCTCCCAGCCTCAGCCAGGGGGAGAGGAGCCAGACAAGATTAAGGGAGGAGGTGTCAACACCCTCACTCTTAAAAATGTTCCCACGTCATTGCTTGTCCTCATTACCCAGCATCAAGTTTGGATGATTCTCTAAAAGATCTGCCCTAGGAATTGTTTGGGGGCAGTTCACTGGCCTGTGTTGTGCAGGCAAGCAGAGTAAATCATCCCCTTGGCATCTCTGAACATGCATAAGGCGAGCATGCTACTCCACCAGACAGACCAAGGGCCCCCCTCCCTTCCTGACTGAACAAACTCATCTCATCTGAGGAAGTGGGTTTTGCCCACAGAAGTGCCTGATACTATATATATAGATGTATGTGTTAGTTTCTAAGGTGCCACAGGACTACTCATTGCCTGTCCTGTGCTCTGCCTGTCTGAAGCGTGGCATGTGGAGTGTTTTGCTTGCCCTTTTCCTTCTCACCTCCCCTTTTGTGAGGCCGGGACTTGCAAAGATACAGCCCAGTTCCCTCCCCCCCCTCCCCCAGACAGCAGTTCCCCATTTCTCTCCTGTCGCCGGGCGTATTGTATTTCTTGGCATAGAGGATCCATGACATCTTGATTTGTAGACAGTCAAATAAAATAGAAAAATAATGCACACTGTTAATGGGCTGACATGCCGCTTCAGGCCAAGTGCGAGTATTTCTGTAACATTTGCTTTGCTGCCTTTTGTCAGTAACTGTTGCTATTGAAAGTAAACACCCCAACTGGTTAAATCAACAGTGTTGTATTTATTCAAGCTCATAAACGACAGTAGCTGGAGATCACTTTATGAAGTGCCGATCCCTGGGAGAGAAGAAGAAATCATGTGAAATTATTGCCTATAGGCCATCCATCGTGAGCCTTAGAAGAAGGGGATTTCCTGGTGATTAATACTCCTTGCAAAGGAAAACAAAATAGTCCTACAGATGCAACACACCAGTGAATCTTGTTTCCTTTTACAAGTGAAAATGCGGTGTATGTTAAGATCCTTATTTCTTTGTCAGTTGTGTTACAATTGTGGTGCATGGAGAAATTCAGTTAAAATAATAATGACAATAATAATAATAATAATAATAATAATAATAATAGTTAATTGAATTTGCAAACAACTTCAAAGCAGCTGGATGCACAAAGGCAAATTGTCAGCTGAAAGATCATGGTATGCACCATCACCTCATCTCTTCTTCCAGGGCACATCTACACAGCAGGGCTAATGCTGAAATAAGTTATGCAACTTGAGCTACATCAATTGCATAGCTTAAGTCAAAATAGCTTATTTCGGCTTTTGGTGCTGTCTATGTAACCCACACACCTAGTGTAGCTTACTGTCCCATGCAGTGACACCTAGTCCACAGCAAAAGATAAGAACAAAAAGACCTATATACAGCATGGGATGAGAGCCATCTAACTTTTAGCTCAAAGAGTTGAGGCTTCTATACTAAACTCCAGAGGTTCCTGGTTCAAATCCGCCTGTTTCACCGTCATTTAGTGCAGTGTTTCTCAACCTTTTTTTGCCCATGACCCCCTTCTGAGCCTCGTTTACCTTTGTGGCCCTCTCTCATAGCCACTGTTAGTTAGAAAAAAAGGTACATAATTTACCTAATGTTTCATTTTTTCCGTGTGGCCCTCTAGAGGTAGGGCATGGCCCCTAGGGAGCCATATGGCCCACAGTTGAGAACCACTGATCTAGTGGTTGGGGGTCTTCATCCTTCCACAAATAGAAATGGTTTCATTTTTATGATCGGCAAAAATGATCCCCATGTACAAGCACAATTTTCAGAAGCACGAGATGTGCAGTTGTGTGCACAAAATTCACTTGCAACCATGGATCTAATTTATGCGTGGAGTTATGATCCCTGCATGCACACATTGGTAATTGTGCAGGCAAATGTCTGTAGTTGCCTATTTGTGTATGCAGTTGCAAGATTCGGCCATACACTTGTTGAACTTGTGTGTGCAAATCAAGTGTGGATTTTGCATACATAATTGCATGGGCCAATTTGAAAGGTACTTTTAGATTTAAAGGGGCTTGTGAAGGAAAATTAGGGCATGGAATGCACGCACAGATCCTAGTGCAGCTGTCACCCTCTAGGAGAAGGAGCTGTAGCTTCAGGCTCCAGGAGTATACATGTACCCTTAAGGAGACTAGATTTAAGGCTCCATGCCTCACATAATGAAATCATTGGACTTTGGGTGGGTTCTGTGCTCCATTAGGCTCATAGCGACCCTCTAAGAAACATCACACCTTCCATCTGTCATGATATTGGATCGAATGGGAGGGCATGCTACTGCCCTAGTGAAATTTAAGAGTATTCTTTTTTAAATGCAGTAGCTGGGGTTTGGAACAATATTATTTACTCTTAAGCTTTCAGGGCTACAAACCCATCTTTGTGATCAATCCAATTATGAACTCACCCAACCCTTGAGTATTTAAAAAGAGGAAATAATTAAACAGCTGTGTGGAAGAAATTAGCAGTTTATGTGAAAATTATTTTCATAGATATTCTTAATTGTCATCTAAATCCAGCTGTTATCATACATTTGATGGGCACAATAAGGCGTAAGAGTGTCCTACATTCAAAGCAAAACAAAATCTACAATGACCCAGTTACTGTGATAAATACGGTACCAAACTCTATATTGTAAATAAACATGAAGAGTTTTCTGGGACTGGAGGTGGAAGTAGTCAGCTCTGTCTGTACCCAGCCTCCATGGTGTCACTTGCAAAATTGCACATACAAATACATTTGGGCTAAATGTTTGGACTGTGTTTGAGCCTTTCCAGCTGTCTGATCTGGGGAAGGAATCCTGGAACATGCTGTTCTTTTCCCCAGATACTGCTGCTTGTGCTCAAGCATGAGCATGGAGACATGACTTCTAGAAGCATTTTTCCTGCCACGTGAATTGTTCTAACTCATATTACTCAGTGATTATGATCTGGAAATGCTATATGACATTTCTGTAGAAGAGCCTCATATGCTTCATAATTCTTTCTCTCCTGCAAGGCAGGAAAGTATTATTGGCCCCAGTTGCCTGACTGGGATAATGACATCGGGAAAGGTAGAGATGTATTCCTGGTCTGTGATCCCATCCTGGTCCCATCCTGTAGACACTTCTCTCTCTGTTATAGATGGGCATGAGTCAATAACACCTCTCCACATTGATCCTCCTTTAGCTGGTCTTTCCCTTGTTTATACTGTTGTCCACATTTTCTCTTTCTATGGTACACTGACTTGTTACTTGAGTGTCCCTGCAGAGGCAAGGCCACAGAATGCAGTAGAACCTCTCTGCAGCCAGGACTGCAGGGACATCTCTGTGCCCCTAGCACAGTGTGCATGCCATGGCCCATGTTGTGTTTCCAAACAGCTGTTGGAGGCTGCACACAAAGGGCTTTGGGTGTACGGCAGATGCATATTTTTGTTAGTGAATGGGTTGTTCTGAAGCCTGGTCATATTGTCTGGCCTACTGGCAAGGACTGGAGTTTTGTATTGGGTTTTTAAATAAGGAGTTCACTGTTGTTCTGTGGAAGCCACCCTGCAGGTGGAATATTAAGACTCCAGGATTGTAGTGTGTGAGCACTTTAAAATTTGGCCACTTATTTGGAAACAGATACAGGCACGCTCCACCTCAGGCATCCAAGCTGTCCTTTGTCAGTGACAAGGGGTAAGGTGAGCACAGTTACAACTTTGGATTCATTTCCTGAATGTGTCCAAATAAAAGATCTTGAGTAAATGTATTTTTCCTTTTAAAGTCTAAATTTAGTTCCGTAAAGATGCTCCTTTCACAGTAAATGGATGGTGAGAATGACAAGATCAATCTGTCATAGTGGATCCAATCAGATGGTTCCAGTCTGTCATAGTGAACTATCCAATCTGTGGATAGTTCTGTGAAGAGTTGGAAAGTCCTGGCAAAACATATTTGATTTCATTCATGTCTGTATTTTGTCCACAGCCCAAAGATCTGCTCATGAGCTTCCAATGGTTGAAAGACAGGATATCGATAGCTGCCTAGTTTATGGTGGACAGCAGATGATCCTCTCTGGTCAGAATTTCACAGCAGAATCTAAAGTTGTATTCACTGAGAAGACGTCAGGTAAGGCATTGTTTGTAATGATATCTGGATGAAATATGTACTCTTAGGAGTTGATCCTAAAAATACGTCACATTTGAGTAACTCTACTCATCTGAGAAGGCTCACTGAAGTTCACATGAGTAAAGCCATTGTAGTCACTTGAGCTAATCATGTACGTAAAGTTACTCGTGGGAGTAATATCTGTGATATTAGGCCCTTAATTTTCAGGCTCCAACAAATAAATAGTAAATCAAGGGTACCTTGTTATGAGAGGGACACAGGAGTGCAAAGAAACCATAGATAATCAGATATGTGAATTCTTATCAAAGATGATATTTAGTTATATTGTTGCAATTCTCTAATGCTATTTGTATTTCATTTTTTGAAAGCTAAATACTCTGATATATTTGAAATTGAACTTTTTCTGTTGCAAAATCTGGTACAAAATGGGTCTGTCTTCTTTGAAAAAAAACCATGACTGTGTATTTTATGTGAAAATAGATCATTTTTGTAATTCTTATTGAAGTACAAAGAATGTTACTTTTAATTTTCTGTTGCAGATATATTGCAAACCTATAATTTCAACCTTTTCCATAGAGAGAACAACTTTAAATGCAAAATAACAAAATCATATTTTCCCCACATTTTCCATGTGAAAATAGCGTCTCCATAGAAAAGAGAAATGTCAGGCATGTGAAAGATCCTGAAATGAAATGGAAAATAATATCATAAGAAATTTTCCAAAAATTATGTCTTCTTTTTTCACAACCCTTGTTATAGACCAACCAAGTTGAAATTGATCTCAATAAACAACTTGTATCATTTTATTGACTAAGAAACCGAGTCTGTAAAACACGGAGGGTATGTCTATACAGATAAAAGACCCCCACCATGGCTGCTGCTGGCATGGGTCAGCTCAGTCGAGGTCACAGTGCTCCATGGCTATAAAACAGGGGTACAGGCATTTGGATTCTGGGACCCCACAGGGATGAAAGATTTCTGAGCCTGTGCTCCAGCCCCAGACCAAATGTCTACACTGCAACTGTTAGCTCCACAGCCTGTGAGCCCAAATCTGCTCACCTGGGTTCTGACACTGCCACGGGTATATTGGCAGTGTAGACATTCCTCAGTGTCCCCAGAGGTTCTGAGCATTTTTAATTTCACCTTTCAGGATTTGGCCCTGAGTTCAGCATCTCCCCCCAAAATGTCAGCATCTCATCCCAAAAATTCAATATTTATGAATACTATTTGCATTTTGTATTCATAAAATCCCCATTTGCTTGCCTGAAATATACATTTAATGCACAAATACAGATTTACATCATGCAGGCTCAAAATGGAATACCTCCCAAATGTTGCTATCAGAAATAATATGAACCAGGTTTTGGTGTGCAGCTACGCAGGACAGATACGCAGGACATTCAGCTATTTGCACCTTAAGTTACCTGATTTGCGTGTATATGGAAATTAGACTTGACACTGAACTGCTAAAGTATTTCAGAAGCCGCCCCCAAGTGAAGTATTAGCAGAAGGAATAGAGGAATTCTTAAATGTCAGTAGCAAAACAAAACACAAATCAAATCTTTATCTAATCTGTCTGTCTGTCTCAGGAAGATTTCCCCTGCCTTCTTTCAGAAACATCACATGCAAATAGTATTTTCCAAGTTTTCCAGGCACCTTTAGTGACTCTTGGACAAACACTTAGCAGAACACAGTTCAGGTTACAATTTACAATTGTATGTTTGATACTTCCTTTCTCTTCCTCACCCTCCCTCCCCACAGCACAACCTTTATTTTGTCTGTTTAAGGCTTGTCTACAAGGCTAGGTGGCACATTCTACAGGGGTGTGATTTTGAAAGTGCACTAATGATTTGCACATGAATTGGTCCATGTCAACCTAACTGGTGTCTAGTGCACTTTAACATACTGTTTAGTGAGGCTACATAGACTAGTTAATGTGCTGCACATTAGTACACTTTAGAAATCACACTCCTGAAATGTGAATTATCCCACTGTGTAGACAAGTCCTTATATAGTCCCTGCCTCTCTGAAGTGTACAGCCTGTTATACGTTTGTACAGTGCCTACCCGGGGGTACCCCGATTTAGAATCTTTTAAGTGTTGCTAGAATTAAAATAATAATTGTTGTTGTGGGGTTTTTGTCTTACCTAGAATTGTCCTTACCATCTTTGCTAACCTCTCCTGACTGTGTTCATAATGGCATGTCAAATCAATCCTTTGATTTCTGATTCGATGTATAACCTGATTTTAGCAAGTATGTTCAGTGCGGTCTAATGGTTTTAAAAAAGGTAGCACAAATCCAGATTACCATATTTACGGAGAGGGGGGAGGGAGGGGAGGAAGAATGCAAACAAAGGCATTCTGCTCATGTTAATTATCTCTTTTCTGAGATACACCGCTTGTTTCTGTTGTGATTACGTATGCATGAATTCTGCTGAGCTCGCCTCTGTAAGCTGTATAGTACTATATATATTTTCTCTTGTTCTGTGAAAAAGGACCTTTATTATTTTTACCAATTGTCTAGTTTTATATAATTTATGAATGTGAAGGGACAGATTCTGCTGCTTGTACTCACGTTGTTTTTCAGTGGGACTAGTTGAGGAGTTAGGGACTCTTGAATAAAGGGAAATAAAGCAGAATCTGTCCCTTTTAAATTGCACTTTGCAATGCCCGTGGGAAGATAAGGTAAATAGTGTTGTTCCCATTTTATAGTTGGGTAAGCTGAGGTGTGGAATGATTAAGGAATAACTGGGCTTAGGATACTTGAATAGAATATAATTTTAATACAGCATATCTGATTAATGATAGTTATCTTGGGAGGAGGGGAAACAAAGATTGGGAACATTAATTGCCCACTATAGATGTAATTAAAAATAAAAATGAAGCCAGGTTTAGTCGCTCCACGCACCATCAGAAAGTGTCGCTATTTAGGGGAGAGAGCAGTGGACAATGGGCACCAATCCTTTCTTGGAACTTTTAATGTCAGTCAGAGTAATTTCTGGCTATGCTCTGATTAGGTATGTGTTGATTCTTTCCCTGCTGTGCTGCTCTTATTCCATCAATGTCAGTGAATTGTTCGGATGCATGAGAGTGTGTTTGGTGGCATAGCACGGCTAGATGTTTTGCAGTGACTAAAGAGGGCTAATGTCCCGTCATAAGGCCATTTTGAAGTGGCATCTGAAATGCCCTCCCCCTAGTTCCATAAGACTTCCAGAAAATTCTGTGACCCCAATAGATGCTAGAAAGGCAAAAAAGAGTTCCAAACACATGAAATCTAAGGGCAACTACTCTAAAAGGAATAAAGACCTAAAATCAGTCTGAGATTGATGTTTTCAAGCTCATATGATCCTCGTCCCCAGAATCTGGAACGTCATGTAATGCCTTTGTAACGCTGACAGGCAGAACCGAAGCGAGAACCTCTGGAGCTTGGTGCATGAGCCTCTACCACCTGAGCTAAAAGCCAGGTGGCTGTCAGCTAAGGCTGTAAAGGAAACCCAGTCTTTCTTTCTGTAAGTGGTTTAAGTCCCACTACATAAGACAGTGAACCACACCCAGTCGGTATGTGGGTTACACTGTCTGAATGGCATTGCATGGACTTACTAGTAGAGAGAAAATATGAGACGCAGTTAACGGAGATGGTGTGTGGGTGGTGGTACAATATGTGCCCTACGAACAGCAGAATGTGATGGGATTGAACATCTTTCCAATACAGGGTACCGTTTTTACAAACTGACTGCACAAAGGAAGTCTTTTGTAAAAACAGAACAAAAATATAGTTCATTATCTTCATCACTAAACCCATGCAAAGAGTGCTGAGACTCAGTTTTAGCTTTTTCTGCAAATGCCTTAATTCTTGCCTGGTGTACCTTCCAAATAGCAAGATGCAGGGAATTTCAGTCGAAGAGAGAGGAAGGGTGGGATTCTTGTGGTAAGACACGGAATGGGAAGGTGAAAGAGGTGAATTCCCAGCTGTGTGAAACCAGTGACAGCTGCAGGTGCTCAGCACCTCTGTTAATCAGGGCCTCCGTGCATCAGTTTCCCCATCTGTAAAAGAAGGATAAATAAAATAAATAACATAATAATAATAATTAATAATTAATAATAATTGCATTCTGTAAGAGCTAGGCGCCCCAGGCATGGACTAGGCCCCCATTGTGCTAGGTGTTGTGCAAACATAGAACAAAGGGATCGTCCCTGCCCCCAAAGAATTTATAGTTTAAATCTAAGACAAGAGACAACAGGTGAAGACACCAAGAAACAAGGAGAGGGAGTATGCAATCCCTTGCCTCAGGAGGAAGGGTATGAGACCTAATTTATGAATGTTTATAATAGTATTTGAGATCCATGGGTGCAAGGAATTTTTTAAAGAGGTAGCATGAATGCTGCAGCTCTGACCTGCATGCTACCTTTTAAAAAAATGCCAGTAAGCTGTTCTGGAGGAAACAAAGCGCAAATAAACCCCCAGTGAGTGGGTTGTGCATCTTTCTGGTGCCCCTGTCACTGTTACTTCCACTTTCAGATAGCTGCCTTTGTGAGCCTATGCAAGTATTGCATCTTTGCAACAGGAAGGAAGCTACACCAGCACACAAGGAAAGCATGGCTATTGCTGGCTTTCACTTTCAAGGCCCATGTCTACATGGGGACATTTATATCAAAAGTTTCCCATGTTGATGGTTGCAGTTTTAGCTCCACTGGTGGGAACATGGGTAGGAGTATTGATGTGAACAAAGCACTAGCAAGTATGGGCGTTTAAACACTGTGCAGTGTGTATACCTGCTCTGAACATGCTTAGATGATGTGATCCTTAAAAGGTGAAGTTTCAGGCCTCCTGAGCAATCTAGCTGACATTGGTATGATTGGACCAGCAGGGACGAGGATCAGATTTCTTTTGGCAAAGAGTCTAGCAAAGACATCTCCATGCAGCAAGAAAATTGAATAAATCTTTTTTTTGCAATGAATCTGAGATTTGCTCAGTCTGGCAATTTCGATCTGAAATGCAAA